CGACCCGACGGTCTGGGCCTAACTGAAAACGATACTATCCCGATGATACGGTCTCCCTAAACAGAAACCCCACTCACCCTCGGCTGAATTAGTCTTTCAGTGTATGGATTCTCAGTTCTATTGCAGCTGATCCTAGAGAGCCTTCACTATAGATGCTCTGTGTTAAAGTAGCTCAATCTCATGCTTGAAGTTGTGACAAAATACACCAGACTTTTCCTAAGCAATGTTCATACACCACCGCAACAAAACCTCACTCACTCGTTTACCTCTTGCCACTGAGAAATCTGTAAATCCTTAAAAAATGTACCACAGGATAAAGAAATCTTCGTAGAAAAAGTAATCAATAATATGCAAGAATTTCCCATAATTGCTTTTCTAAAATAGAAGACCACTTACCTGACATCCACATATTCTTTGACTTCAGATCAGGGGCAGACAATTCATAATGTTTGCCTGGAGTACTCAGTTTGAACCGATGCTGTTTCCCCCCAGGTCTGTCGGGGAAGCTCTGAAAACATGAGCGACTACAATTATGTACAATCATTTTATCATGTTTTTTAAAAATTAAATAATCAAATATAAATCAGCAGTAACCATGAAAATTTATAAAAAAAAATATGTGCAGATACTTTATTATTCATCACATATTTTGTGAAAACTACTAAAAAGAACATATTAAACTTCCACAAATTATTATATTGTTTTAACCTAAACTAGTCTTTTTAGAGATAGAGAGAGAAGATGCTGGACAGTTTGACATCATGGCATAGGAGATCTTCTGTGTCACAACTGATCTTCTTCTTCTTCTTTTCAATACTCCTGGAATGCCTCATGGCACAACAGATCAAAAGTATGAAAGTACATGATACAGAAGGTTGTGGATGGACGTGATTACCAGTGCCACACGGCACAGACTGTAAGAAGGTGTCTTTTTCTTAGTTAAAAAATATGTAACAAACTTTACTTAATCAAGAAGATTATACTGACTACAACTTACCTCTACACAAGAGAATGCTCAGTGTTAATTATATGGACACATGCAGGTGTGGTAAATTTTGATAATAAAATTACAGATTTTAAAAACAAAAATAATAATTAAAATTGGAAGAGCAAATACAAATACAGTTCATGTGAGACAACATTTAAAAAATGATTCAACTCAAGTTCTGGAGCAGGACTAAAGTCCAGAGGTGAAAGAACAACCATAACTATTGGCTGGAGTTAACAGCTGGTGAATGTAAAGAAAAACAAGATTGATCTTTCAAAACTAAAGACAAAAGATCTTTTTCTTGTCACTGGTGCACATGGTAGGGTATATGATGCTAGATCAAAATTTATGCAGACCACCTGGCACTTAACGGTTGGTATGGTTAATATGATGCTTGCCACCTTTACTTTCCTAGGATGTTTCTTTGTGGCCATTTTAGAATGTGTTAATTCTCAAATTTTTAAACACAAGACCTTTGAGTGAGTAGATAAGTGCCTAGGCACTGCACTACTAGGATTTCATTACTGATCTTACATTATATATCAAATGTCACTTTGAAAATGATGAAATATTAATTGACAAACACAATTCTTTTTCTTTTTCTTTATTTGCCCTCAAAAGGGCAGTTGGCACACTGTGTTGCGGTTTACAGCTAGACTGCAATATCAGTGCCATTTAGTCCAAAACATCTGATTTCAACCCTTTACTCTTTCAACAGCAGAAGAGTTGTTATGGCATTCATACCCACAATGAAAGTGTGTGGGTCTGTAAATTCCAAAGAGGCAGCATATCTGGTACTATATGTTGCAATATCTGGTCAGGTTTCTATAGCATGCTCAGTCAAAATTTAAACCACACAACAACACATGATGCATCAATGGAGACAATAAGGTAATAGCTGAGCACACACAGTGTGTTGTTATTTGGTCAGAAGGAGTTAAATAGTGACCTTTCATGATATAATTGGTAAGAGTTAGTGGGGTTGTTCTTTTTTTCTCTCCAAAATGTGGCTTGGAAGATATAGAAGTAGTAGACGACATGTGCAATTATTTACCTGTGTGAAACATTGAGGACAAATTGCAATGCTGCCTTTCAAGTCTTTTTCATCAGATGACGCATAATAGTGAAGTGCTGAGGCTGTAAGAACAAACCACCTTTCCTTCCAGGCTGTGACTTTGTTTCCAAACTTGACCATGTAGCCCTGTGAAAAGTGTTGCCAACAAATGAAACAATTGTAATTATCCTCAACAATCTCTGTCTCTTACTCTCTCGCTCTGTCTCTTACTCTCTCTCTCTCTCTCACTTTGAGTGTCTCTTAGTCTCTACCACTTCCTCGGTCTCTTACTCTCCCTCATTCTTTTACTCATTGTCTCTTACTCTCGCTCACTGTCTCTTACTCTCTCAGTCTGTCTCTTTTTCTCTCCCTTTGTCTCCTACTCTCTACCACTCTCTTGGTTTCTTAGTCTCTCTCTCTCTCTCATTCTCTCTGTCTGTCTCTAACTCTCGCTCACTGTCTCTTACTCTCTCCCATTCTCTCTCTCCCTGTCTCATACCCTCTGTCTCATTTTGTCACTTTTCTCTGTCTCTCTTACTCTCTCTCTCAACCTGTCTCATCCTGTCTTTTTCATGCTGTCTCTTACTCTCTCTCACTCGTGCTATTAAATACAACTCACATCTTTACTTAAAGTGCAGTGTACAAGATTCAGGACTGCTATGGACATAAAACGACGATAGACTTAATGTTGTACACAGATTAGCATTTGTTTAAAATGTAGCCTATGTCCCAGTGTGGGTTCTGGAGATACCGATTGCTTCTTAACAAAAAAAAGTTAGTTGCCGGTTCTATACAGGATGCTGCAGAGCCACCCCAGCATTTTCTAGCTGTTGTGGGTTTTCTAAGCAAATTTATGCTCAGTAGTTTGCCATTGCTTTCTGACTCTCTTGACTCTTGGTACTGCTGTCAAAACCTTGAAACCAATGCAAGACATTCTACTGCCAGATCACCTGCAGCTGGGATCGAACCCAGCACCATGCCATTACGAGGCGCATTCACAATGACTAGGTGACAAATGCTGATACTCCTTTAGAGGCATGTAGAAAAAAATGACTAATTAAGGATTTTCATAAATTTAGTTCTTTTGCATGCAGAAAGTTTTGGTTGTTTGTCCACCTGTTGACTTCAGTCTTGTTCCAAAACCTGAGTGTTGTTACACACACATCCATTTCACAAATTTGACTTAAGTGTACGCAGATTGTTGGTTCCTTGTCAACTCTTACGACATGCTTGCTGGGGAGGCAGTGGGTCCATTCTTGTCCCCACAATGGAGTCCCAGAACCCAAAACATGGGGATTTTCAGAAATAAGATGTTTTAGGCTAAAAGGCGCAGATACAACAGCCTAGCTGTAAAACTACAAGAGAATGTAAATACATAAAGGTCCCTCTCCATGGGCATATGAAGCGAAACTCATATTTTTACATACCAATCGGCCCTTGATGGGCTGTCTAGTCAACATAATGTCACTTAACTTCCCAAGACCTGGTACCCATTTAGGGCTGGACCAACCTGGGAGCCACAGTCATCAATTAAATAAATTTGGCTTCCTCAGATTTAAGATCCATGACCTTTGGATCCGCAGGTAAGCATTTAGCTACTACAGCGGCTCCCACAAGAGAATGTACCAACAATAATTTGAAGGGTGTACCTAGAAAAGAATATGAGACTGAAATGGTAGATGTCAAGATTTCTTGTTGCTATCCTATGTGTCATTATCATCATTTTGATGTTAAGCTGAGTTTAGTCAAGAATCCACTTCACTGTGCTTGAGGCATTTCCATAAGTGTGCCATCACCATCTTCAGCAGCCAATGAAGAGTATAAATACTAATGATGCTAGTTGTTTAACTGAAGCCGAAAAACTTCTCAAGATGGATGTTCAGGTAACTCTACTAACATGAAGTGTTTTTGTACTGTGAGTGATGTCCCCTGTCTTGACCCTCGAGATAACCATGGATGATGACCAAAAGCCTCCAAGAAGCTTTTAATAAATACTGTGAAATGTTCAATAAACAACATACATAGTAGTAATGCTTAAAAATATAAGATCTGTTTATATTCCTAGATGTATATTGGGTATACCATGCTAAGTCATTTTAGTCCTAGGATATATTTCACCAGCATTAAAAGTCTATGGTCATGCACCAGCAAGGAAATCAAGGTGAAAATTGTGAAGGCATGCATCTTCCCTGAAGCATCAGACGGATGTGAGTCATCGACTATCTCACAGTCATTAAGGAAGAAAATAGGGGCTTCAGAAACGAAATGCTACAGACAGATTCTCAGAATACCATAGATCAGAAGAAAAGAAAATAGTGACATCCTAAAATTTCTGAACATCGAGGAACATCTTGGAAACTTTAATATTTTGGCCATGTAAAGTACCATGGCGTATTGGATAGAATAGTAATAAGGTTCCTATTCCACGCCTTTCAGCGTATTGGGAATATAGGGCTAGACCTATTTTATTGACCAATCGGCAACTGCTGGGTGATGTGGTCAGCATCACACTAAGGCAGCCTTTACTTCCCAGGAATGTATCTGGTACCCACTTAAGGGAGTGGGAGTCAAGGTCAGTTTTGAAAAAAGGGCCTGCTCCAACATGACCTATCGATCCGCCAACACCATGAAGACTCCCATAAAATACTAATAGAAGGCATATTACCCCTAAAGAGAAGCCAACCAGCATGAAGATGAGCACAAGATATAAGTGACACCTTGGGTAGAAAAAAGTGCATGACATAGGAGATCTGGCAGAAGATATTTTTTCTTCAGACAGGATGCAATGAGAGCGAAATTCTTCAAAGGACCTGCTACATGATGATGATGATGATGAATGAATACGTTAATGCAGAATGACTACTAATAAACATATAAAAAATATTATATGTGATTCAGTAAGCTAAAGATCTTCAAAACAGATTATGTAGTAATAAAAGTAATAATGCTTGAAAATACCTTACGAACAATATCCGACATGATCTGCTCATGCACCTCTCCTATTCCATGACTGATCATTGCAAAATCATCTTGGGAACTAACTCTCTGTAATATCAGCCTCACAAATTCAGTGAAATCCAACAGGAAAGTGTCATCATTCACATCAACCGATCCTGTTTTTTGGAGTGTCTTGTTTTTTGGAACTGGCAAGCCTACTGTCTGACAAATCTGCTCTGCTATTCTTTCTGCTTCTTCAATATCAGCTCTCAGAGGAAACAGCAAGCTGCCATCTTGGGCTCTCTCAACAAGGAAGTTGAATATCTGAATAAAAAAATAGAACAAATAAAAAGACATGTTTTAAAAGCTGAAGAAATAATTTTAATAAGTATAACATCCCCCAATATGTTAACTCCATACTAGGCACATAAAGGATGGGTGTCAGCACACGAACTGACGCAGAGATCACAGACTGTGGAGAGGCATGATCACCTACGCCATTCGGCAAGGCACATGATGCAGATACAAGGCATGCACTGTAGGTTCATTGACACTTTTACTTTGTTAGCAAGTCGACAGATCATCCTCACTGAACAGTGAACCTTTCAGGACACAAGTGCTCTGATTCTCTCCTCAGTAAATCCAACAGTGTGGCAGTTGATGACACCAGTTTTGTGGTGGTTTATATTCTTCTTTGGCTTCCTGTACAGTGCTCTTGTCAGGCCACACCCCTATCAAACTGTTGTTCTTGTAGTCTAATCATGGTTGCAGATTCACAGTCATCACTTGGTTCTTATAAACATCTTAAGCCTCACAGAGCATTCAGTATATCAGCCTGGTCCATGGTTCACCCACCCTCCAAAGTAGCCTTACCTGCAAACTTATCAGCTTGTTTATTTTCTTTTACACCTGAATGCCCTGGCAAAAAAATTAATCTGACATTAAACCATATTTATATCATTAACTTTTCAATGTGCTTTCTAGCTCTGGCAGTTGCCACATTTATGAACAAAATGATCAAATAGGACAGGGGTTGCAGTTTGAATGTCAGGGAAAGCTGAGGTCTGGCAGCAACTTTTGAGATATGCATTAAATTAATAAGACAGTAGTAAACCCTTTTACTCAGAGAAGTCACAAAACCAACACTTTTGGTTGGGGACCAATTCCCCACAAATGTCACTTTTCCCACTTGTCTCCAGTGACCTGTTTATGAGGTGCATAGTTAATTGTATTGGCTGATTTTGTGCCTGCACAAACATTTAGGAGGTCCTGATATGACTGCATTAACTAAAAATATCCATTTAAGGGGTGTGTGTGTGTGTGTGTGTGTGTGTGAGAGAGAGAGAGAGAGAGAGAGTCAAACGAGAGAGAGAGAGAGAGAGAGAGAGAGTCAAACAGCTTTTTTTAAAGCCAATTGACCTCAGTTTTCTCATTCATAGCCTCGGTCATAGAGTTTATAGGGTCATGACATGATCACCCGTTACAAATGTATTTTCAGGTCTCAGGGAATTTACTCCATTTAGTGCTTGACCCCAAAAAGGTCACGACCCACAGGTTGAGAACTGCTGCATTAGGCAGTTATGTTTAGTAGTTTGCCTTTGCTTTCTGTTGAAATCAATGCAAAGTGGTCTGCTTCCAAATCATCCACGACCATTTAGTAACAAATCAGTAAGAGGTATGAGATGGTTGAGAGCCTATGCTCCATTGGTGGTTGAAATATAGAAGAAGACATAGTTGATTATTGATCAGTAACTGGAACATTTGCCTGCCAGCTTGGTCTTCATGAGTTCAATTCCCTATCGAAATAAGGATTTGTTTTCAATGGCTGTGGGCTGTCAGGATGTCTCAGTCCAAAATATGGCTTAGAAACAGGATGACTAAGTCCAGAATAGGGTTCAGAAACAGGATGACTCAGTCCAGAACAGGGTTTAGAAAAAGGATTACTAAGTCCAGAATAGGGTTTAGAAAACCAGGATGACTTGGTCCAAAATGGGGCTTAAGATTTTAAGAGAAGTAAAAGTAATAGTGATGATTACAACACCCACTGTGAGCCATCTATCTATAACATACTGAAAGGCTGAGGCATATGGAATGTATATTTTAAAATGTCTACTGTTTATGTGTCTGCTTCTGTGGCTTAGACATTGCAAATATATTTTGTAATACCGGGGTACTGAGTTTGATTCCAGCTGTGGGACGACTTGTCTTGCATTAGGTTCAAAAGTGGTACCAAGAGCTGACTGTTCAAAGAGCTGACTGTTCAGAGAGCAATGGCAAACTACTGAATGAAAAATATGTCTAGTAAAACCACAACAGCCAAAAAATGCTGCGGCTGGTTCTGAAATGTCCTGTAAACAAAATCCAACTAACTTAACTGTTTGTGTTTAAATGCCCTGTTCATACCAACTTTGCTCTATCAACAACCTTCTCGCTGTCTTCTTTCATAATTAGCTAGTTGTGTATCCTTCACAAGACATTACAGAACCAAACACAATATTTTTTGGCAGTTGTGGTTTTTTTTTTAAAGGCTTATTTACATTCAGTAATTTATTATTGCTCTCTAAACAGTCGACTCACGATACCTCTGTAGAAACTGACACAAGACAGTCTGCAGCTAGATCATCTGCAGCTGAGTTCAAACCTGGCACTACAGAATTATGAAGCACGTTCACAATGCTCAAGCTACAGACCTTTTATCATAGACAGCTGTTAAAGTATCACTTTCTTTGTGAATTATTAGTTTAACCACTTCTGTCCTGAAGTGTCACTGTTTACCTCCTTTTAAACTCAAATCTCTGGAAAATAAATTTATAGCTTTTAAACTCAAATCTCTGAAAAAAAAGTTTATAGTTTTAAACTCAAATCTCTGGAAAAAAAAGTGTATAGATTTTAAACTCAAATCTCTGCGAAACAAGTTCATAGATTTTAAACTCATGTCTCTGGGAAAAAAGTGTATAGCTTTTAAACTCAAACTTCTAAGAAATAAGTTTATAGCTTTTAAACTCAAATCTCTGGGAAATAATTTTATAGCTTTTAAACTCAGATCACTGGGAAATAGGATTATAGCTTTAAAACTAAAATCTCTGTCAAACAAGGGGCTAAATTAACAACTGTCTGGAATAAAAAGAGTTAATAAGTATCAATGCTTACTTTCCACAGTTTGAAATAAGCATCCCCAGACAACTCCTTATCAGAGACTGTCTCAATTGTAACTGTAGTGTCCCCATCTGTCGGAGTGAACTGACTCTCATCATTCTGATCGTCTGCTGACTTGTTTGACTTTATCTGCTGCAGATATGACTTTTCACACAGCAGCCAGCACAGATGATCAATTTCTGCTTTCAAAGAGGCAACTTTGCTCTCCGGGTTTTTGTCTATCCCCACCAGAAGGTTGTTGCTAAGGACTTGTATAAACTGTGTGAAGTTGATGCTGGTGTCTGTCACTTTGTCCCATATTGTTTCTGCCTTGTCCACCCCAAGAAGGCGGCCAAGGTTATTAGTCAACACCTGAAATTGATAACATTATGAGGGGAAGTCAACAAGTAAGTCACAAATGGTTGTCTAAAAAGAAAAAAAAATTTAAGATAATAACAACTTGAAAACCAATTATTTTTACACATACACTGTCCCTTAATTCTTCAACATAATTTCCACCAACACACTGATGCACTTGTCATATCTTTTACCAGTAAAAGTAGGTAAAGTAAAGGACCCTTTTCAACGCCTTTAGGCGTTTGGAGCATATAGGCCTAGACCTATATTTTATAGACCAATCGGCACAAGATGGATGATGTGGTCAGCATCACGCCGGCCGCCTTTACTTCCCGGGACTGCACCCGGTACCCACTCAAGGTTTGATCGACCTGGGAGCCAAGGTCATTTTTAAAAAAGTCTGGCTCCGCCAGGGAGCGAACCCACAACCTTCCGATCCACAGGCGAGCATCTAGCTGCTCCGCCATGGCGACTCCCATCTTTTATCAGTATAATGACAAATATCAATACAAGCAGGAAGTACTGACTGATCAGTTTGTCCCATCCGGGCTGCTGCCTAAAGGTTAACCATACGATCCTGAGATTATAAAAATCTGGTTCTTGATACCATGGGCAGAAAAGCAGCAGACAGGCAGTAATGAAGATCACATGTGAATGCCTTACATGTCAACAATGACAGGATATAGTTACAGAGTGATGGCCTGGTCTTATCAGAGCCACAAAAGAAGAAAGTTAGTTATGAATTCTTTACAGAATGTTGGATGGCAGACCAACAAGGTAAATTCCAGATCCCCATTCAACTTCCAAAGCACAGATAATAGCTATGCCAGCCAGACGTAACCTGCAGTCCTTTGTGGTGAGTGAGTTAGTGATGTTTAACCCCACCAGGGCAGCAACAATGAGCGATAAACACCCTGTGACAAATGTGCTTCAATTCACATGAGAATTGCCCTCATGAACAAGTCCCAGAAACCCCCCTTTAATTATATTAGGGCACGACAACAGCCAGAGTAGGGCTTTAAAAAGACAAAAAAGTTGAGGCCCATATTGGGGCACAGTTACATTTAAGTTCTGTGCGTAGTAGTACATTCTACCCCACCAGGACATCACACAAGCGATAAACACCCGATGAAACAAAGTACCACCATGTGGATGAGGATTACCGTGGAGAGGTCCCAGAAACCGCGTTCAGCTATTAGACCATATTTATGGTCGGGCAATATTGCGGCCCCTGGCAAGAGCCAGGGTGGGGCTTCAAAGAAACGAAAAATGGCATCCCACAAGGGGATGACTGGTAACATACAACAAGTTCTGTGTGGATACAGATGAAAAAAGAAGTAGAACTAGTCAGGTACACATTGCCAAGTCACAAATGATAAATGAATGTTGCGGCTAGAAAGATTTCATCAGCATATGACACAAACAGACAATGACACAGACAAGCAAGAATAGAAAAAATCTATTATCTGTAATTAAAGGTCTTTTAAAGAGTTATCCATGTGGACAGTAGAAACTGGAAGAGGTTACTGGACATAAAAGAGGTATGACCAGCTAGTTGTAACAAGGGCTGTAACTTAAAACCTTTTAGATAAAGCAATGTTGGATGTTAAGGTCCTTAGGTGAAAGAAAGAACAAATGAATAAACAAGTAAACGATGAAAAATGTTTATTATTAAATTTTAAGAACTGGTTAAACATTCTGGCTTTCAAGTCTTTCTCCTTTCATATATTATTCTATTCATTCATCTGTTATCTTGTAATAGTAAACGTTATCAACAACAGTTAAGTATTACTAACAAGGACTTGAATGTGCACTTACATTTCTAACCACAATAAAACAATGGTAATAAATCTAGAAGACATATATGCTATCTCTAAAATACTTGTAACTTTCAAGGGGGCATGTAATCTGTGCTCAGATAATATTCAAACATGACTGTACGCATAAGGGCTGGTAATATCTTTTGTTTGTTGTGGAACGTGGTTCCACAGTTCATCTGTTGTGTACACTAAACGTGTTTTGTATGGGGTGTGGGAGACACACACACATATATATATAGAGAGAGAGAGAGTGAGAGAAAGAGAGAGAAAGAGAAAGAGAGAGCACATTAGACAGATAAGATGGTTCTCGAGAGAATATTTATCTGAAGCTGGTAATAGAGATACGTAAACAATCATTGCATCTATTTCAGAGTCAGTATTCTACAAAAGTTTTCTTGAGTAATCAACATTTTGTGTGTTTATTTTCTGGCATGAATCATAAACAAGGCAGGATTTATACTTGAACGGGTCCTAAAGTATATAAAGCCCAGAGACTCTTACTGTTTTAAATTACACCAGCTAATGTTAGAAAACTTTAAAATAAATATACACCTTTTAAAAATATGGATGATAGAAATATATTGTTGTTTAATGTTAGTTAAAAGTTAGTTGTGTATTCTTTACATGACAATGCAGAACAAACCCTAGCATTTTTTAGCTGTTGTGGCTTTTCTAGCAAATTTAACGTTCAGTAGTTTGCCACTGCTTTCTGGACACTCAGCTCTTGGTACCACTGTCGAAATCAATGCAAGACAAACCGTCTGCAGCTTGGATTGAACCCGGCACCCCAGCATTATAAAGCGTGTTCGCAATGCCTAAGCCACAGACACCGACTTAATGTTAGTAAAAGAAGTATTAAAGAATGTGTCCACAAAATTACTACATTGCACAATCCTCTTAAAGGCTCTTTTAAATTAAAATCTCATTTGTGAACAAACAAAAATTAGGAGTTTGTTGTTGTTGTTTGTTGGTCTTTTTGAAAGAAAGACCAGGTTGTTCATCCATTTCTGGAACTGTGGCTTTGTTCAGGACTTGAGTTTTGCATGTGCAACTGTTTTAAATATCTTGCCTACCCAAAAGCATGTCGTAAGAGTCGACTAACTGGGAGAGCTTCCTTCAAAGTCGTAGTACATCTGCCTAAGGAACTAACAGTCTGCATACAAATGAATCAGATCTGTGAAATGGTTGCACAATGCAACACTCAGGTTCTTGAACAGAACAGCAGTCCGAAAATGGACAAACAACCAGAACTTTCTGCCAGAGTTTACAGCTGGTGAACACAAAGAAAGAAGATCTACAGAATGTCGCTTGCATCATGGAACACTTACAATCTCTCTTTCTGTACCCAATTCTTCAGCTCTATGTGCTTTCATAGCCAATGTATCTTCAATGTCTTCCTTCCCCCTCTGTGAAGTTCGGCCTCTGCCTCATTTTCCAGAAACTGTACCTTCCATCACCATTCTAACCAAACCATCACAACGTTTAACATAGCAAAAATACCTCAGCTTTTGGGATATGATGCTGTTTATAAGCCAGTTCTAAATTTTCAGATCATGTAGGATGTTGTTTATGAGCCAATTCTCCTAAATTTTCAGATTATGTAGGATGTTGTTTATAAGCCAATTCTCCTAAATTTTCAGATCATGTAGGATGTTGGTGTTTTTCCGTCTTCCTTGGTCTATGGCATTCCAAGAATTTTTCTATAACATTTTAGTTCAAGGGCTATGAGCCGATATCGAGCATTATTATTTCTGTGTTACATTAACTAATGTTGAGCTCACACAGGAGTGCTTGGCAAAGAACGGGATGATTTGAACACATGTTGAATGTTAAATTAAGAATCGACATCACAGCACTTGGGACACTCCTATAAGCGCTCCATCCCTACCTTCAGCAGCAAGCAAAGAGTTAAAATTCCAATGGTACTGGTAACTATCTGATTTTATATCCGTCTCGCCTTCCCCCTGAGTGTTGAGTGTCAACCACATCCCCTGGTAACTCCTCAGACTGTAATAATCTATCTGTTCCTCAGCAATTTTCACTCGCTCCAAAAAGGCATGGGATGATTTATTAATAGTAAGTGTGAGAGATGTGGGAACAATCATAATGGATCAAAGAAACCTTCAGAGACCAGAGAATATGGCAACAGTGGCGTTTTTAAATCTATGCTTAACTGAAGTTAATCTGGTGCTTTTTAAGACACGTTCAAACCACCGGTCTCATAGCAAACATTCACACTGAACTATTTTATGCTATCAGAAATTCAAGAACTTTTATTAGCAATTCTAGAACTCAGATTAACAATTCATGAACTCATATCAGCAATCTTAAGAAATCAGATTCTAACAATTCACACCGAACCAATCCTAAAACTCAGATTAGCCATTTACAAACTTAGATGCTAGAAATTCTAGAATGTCACATTAGCCAATTATAAACTTAGAATTCAGACTAACAATTCTAGAATCTGAGCTAGTAAAATAAATGACATACCCGTAATTTTGTTTTTGGCACTTGTGATGATCTGGTTTTTTGTGAGTGAGAGGATGTGTCCAAAAGATCAAACGCATGCCACAAACTCTTCTTGACATCTTCATATTCCATTTCCTGTAACAACACATCAAAGAAAACATTTACACCATTAGGGACCATGAACACATAAAGTAGAAATGTCAACTTTTATGCTAGAGCGGCTGTCTCATAAATTGTTTCAGTAACTTATTTCAGCTAATGCCATGTAGTGTTAATAAACAACATTGGGTCTCATGTAATTAATAATATTAATTTCTGATACAGTTGTTCTTCCATGCAATTTGAACAAAAAGAGCACACACACACACACACAACAGATTGAACATTTGATTACCTGGCATATTTTGCTGTATCTCATAAGGTCGAATTTGTGTTCCACTTAGACAGATTCATTTTTAATCTGTTGTTACTGTTGTATGCACCTGATGAGACACAGCAAAGTATGCCAGGCAATCTATTGCTTGTGCCTTTTTTGTTGAAATTCTACTTTTTCTTCTTCTTCTCTACCACTATTTACCTCAGCGTGGTGTTGTGCAGAAATGTAAGGATCATTTGTGCGTTTTTCCCAATGCCTTGTACCAGTTGGTGTTCATTTCTGTTAGGCTGCTCCTGATGACATTGTTTCATATCTTTCGTGGTCTTCCCATTGCTCTGTGTACATTATATTTTTTCAGCGTGGCTCTCTGTGACAGTTGGTGCCAGGGTATTCTCGCCAGGTGGCCAGACTATTTCATTTATTGTTCTTCATCCAAAATTGTTCTTAGGCATAGCTGTGTATGTAGTTAAATCTTCCACCGATTTGCGAGACCTGCCGTAGATTCATTTTAACTGAATACTTCTCCTCATAAACACAATATTCACATTTCCTACATATAAGAAGATAGATTTATCAAATCTTTCCACATGTTTAGCTGTGTTGAAATTCACAGTGGGGAAACATTCTTTCTTTAATCTTCCATACAATGGTAATAAACTACAAACACCCCTGCCCACACTCTTCCTCTTCCTTTCAAGTTTTCCACTTGTCACATCTTATCCAGTTTTCTCAATCTTATAATTATAACAGGCCAAAATTATCCTGAATGGCTCCTTCTGGTAGTTTTCGTTGTGAGTAAATTACTTTTAAGACAATCTTCATTCACTGAAAATCTTGCTCCATCTTTTAAATCTACTGGCACTTTAAGGTCATTATTACTAATCAGCCATCTAACCTTGCAGGAATACTAAACTACTTCAAGTCACAAACCAAAAAATTCTAGTGAGTATGATAACCAAGAGAAGATGGAAATGGCTTGACCACGTTATAAGAATACATTCTGATATACCAGCCAAAACAGCTCTCACTTGGACACCAGAGGGAAAGAGAAAGAAATAACAATATGGAAAAAACAATATGGAGACGAACGATGGAGAGTGACCTGAGTGCGGCTTCTCTGCCATGGAAAACTGCACTGAAGATTGCACAGGACAGGAAAGCATGGAAAGTCCTCTCTGAAACCTCAGGTGCCACCAGGCATAGAAAGAATTGCAGGGAATTCTCTAAAAACTCGGCTGGCTGGTTTTCCGGAAAGTTGTTACGTGAGCAAGGTTCTGCAATGGACAGGTTACTGACTGAGTGACTGACTGACTGACTGACTGACTGACTGACAACACATAATGGCAGATATTTGAACGAACGAACTTTATTTCTAAAGGGTTACAAATTGAAACAGCTCACACAGACACCAAACTCAAACAACCCCCCCCCCTCACCCCCCCCCCCCGCTTTATCCACCCCCACAGAAATAACCCTCACAGGCACAGCGCTCACATACACGCACACACACAACGCTCGCTCGCATACACAACATTCACAAAGATACACCTGCACGTCTGAGAAGCCAATTGCATACATGTTCCCTGTGTGGGGTCCGGGGCCCTCTTAAAGGGAAAACAAGAATAGACCCACTGTCTTCTCAAAAGCATGTCGTAAGAGCCGACTAATTAATTGAGAGCTTCCATCGAAGTAGGAGTGCATCTGCCTGAAAGACAAGGAACCAGCAATCTGCATACAAATAAGTCAGATCTGTAAAACGGATGCACACGCAACACTCATGTTCTGGCACCTGCAGTCCAGAAGTGGGTTAACAGCCAGAGCTTTCCGTCAAAGTTTACAGCTTGTGAACGCGAAGAAGACATACATGTAACCGCAATAATATTCGTGAGAAATTTTATACTGTAACTATGGAAGACTTTTTTAACGCGAGCAGGCCTTCATAGTCAAGCAAGCCATCGCTATGGACGCTGATTTTCCCTGTCTGTCTTCTCTGGAAAGACGGAAATGTGCTAACTTAACAATACAGACAATGCAGTAACTGTTTATATAAAATATTAGCAGCCGGGGCCAAAACTCAGTCTGTACGTGCTGCGCTGAATCGTCACCACATTACATCTGTACTAATTTATTTATTTCCGAGATCGAGTGAATAATGAAACTATCAGACAAATTGTATGGACGACACCTTGTACTAGGTTCATCGAGAAACAGCAGATCAAGTGGTTTCGTCATCTCGTTAGAATGCAGCATGATCTAATACTGTTATTACAAGCACTACACCTCAGAAGATCAGCTACAAGAGCAAGAGGACGGCCCCGAAAATTATGGATCGACAACATTAAATATAATCTACGCCTTCACGGCATGACAATAGCCAGTGGTAGCCAACGTGCATTGGATCGCAAATTATTCCTCCCCACGACGCTTAACGGCAGAAGTGGTTTATGATGATGATGACTAATTTGTTATAACCACATTCTTATTCTTATTCTGCGACTCCCAATCCAAAGAAAAAGAATACAAAATCGCAAGCTTGATAAACGCACCCAGCTATTACAGCCATAGCGGCTGTGCAATCAGCCAACTAAAGAAAACAATATCCATGGACGACTGACTACGGAAATATATAGAAATAAACAAACACCCGCCACTATGCGTGATTTACTCTTCCAAATGGATAAGAACTTTGGACAACTCGGGTTGACCAAGCTTCATAACAAAATGGGTACCAGACGTTTTTCAGAATTTTCTGGGTAAGAATGCCATCGAGGAACCGAAGGGCCATCTCACGTTGTACTTCCTTCTGACCCCCCTCCCCCTGGGCTGCTACTAGAAGGTGTGACCACCCTGAGACTACAAAACTGTAGTCTGTATATCAGTTTTACCTCCTGTTTCTAATCTCGTCTTCTCAAAACTGAAAACTTCAACAAACATGCATGATTTTTTAACACTTAGGATGTGTCCTGTTGTGTACATAGGGAAAAAGGGGGTAGCCGGTTTACGTGTGGCCTGGTTAAATACCTTGTGTAATAATTCTACGTATGTAAGGACAATTTATCGTGCCCGACTACTTCCAACAACTACAAACTGCATTTCTGGTGGCTACTGTTGGCTTTGGCGTCTCTAGCAACGGCCATATGCATTTACTGCGTGCGCATATTTCTATATTGTGCTTGGACTAATTGTTTGTGTTTTTCAAATGAGACAGTGAGGGACATTTCCATTTGATTCTTACTGGCACAGGAACGGAGGGAGTATGTGGGTGACCCGACTGCAGTCAAGTTGAAACCTCGACTAAGACAAAAACATAGGAAAACCTTCACATTTATTTATAAGGAGGGTCTTTTTCGTTCCATGGCAGCATCGATTATAAAGTGCCAGACCTATATTTGTATAGACCAATCGGTTGGCAATCAGCAGATAATGATGGGTGATGTGATCAACGTCACATCGACTGCCTTTACTACCCCTGATATTACCTGTTACCCATTTTAACCTGGAGCCAAGGTAATTCTGAAGACAGAAAAAAAAAATCCGCCTTGATGCGGGTTTGAACATAAGACACGGGCCGATAGGCGAGGATCTATCCACTACACTACCGAGGCTTCCATGCATAATGCCCCTAAACACGTTTACACTGTGAGATCAAGGAAGTTAAATTCTATTACTGCTAACAGGATAATGTCACCGTATTTGTTTACGAAAGTGGAGCACGGAACTCAATGATATATTATATTCAATTATATACGGCTGTTTTTCAAGCCACTGACAATAGGCAGGAGACACGGTATAATGTGGATCAAGGTTAGCTTGTACAGGCGAATCCGTCTTTTTTTATACCCAGGTCAACTTAGTCTTACACGATGTACAGACAAAGAAATCGAGAGATAGACAGACATATGTCAGGAGGGTGGGTAGATTGGGAAGAAAGTAGTTAGAGGGTAAGTAGCTAGGTAAGTAGGTACGTGGGTAAGTAGGTACGTGGGTAAGTAGCTATGGAAACAGGTACGTGGGTAAGTAGGTAAGTGGTTAAGTAGCTAGGTAAACAGGTACGTGGGTAAGTAGGTACGTGGGTAAGTAGCTAGGTAAACTGGTACGTAGATAAGTAGGTACGTGGGTAAGTAGGTACGTGGGTAAGTAGGTACGTGGGTAAGTATGTACGTGGGTAAGTAGGTACGTGGGTAAGTAGCTAGGTAAGCAGATGCGTGGGTAAGTAGGTACGTGGGTAAGTAGGTACGTGGGTACTTAGCTAGGTAAGTAAGTAGGGGGTGGGTAGGGTGGCACATAGTTAAGCGGATAGACGGACTGACAGACATATGTGTTGACCAGCGAGCGGGTAAACTGACAAAAGAGGTAGAACAGACAGGCAAGCAGGAAGACAAACAATCAGACAGATAATCACATAGACAAACAGACAGACATGCAGACGCAGGTCCTAAAAGGAACATGTGTATTTCGACGCAGGGCTTCGTTGCCATATACATTCAGTGCAACACATTTGTGACATATCCTTATTTCCGACAATCCACCTCAGCAACAATTTGTCATTTACTGTAATGAGGAAACGCTTCTGGAGAATATTTGAACCCACTGACCATTTCTTGAGTTACATGCCCCGTGAACAATGCCTATCATATTGTAGTAGGTTCACGAGTTTCAGAAGCTTGGCCATATGTGGTCACTGTATGTCCAAGGTTCCACCAACTCTTAGATCCTTCGCTAGTTCAGTACAAGTCTGTCGTCTTGCATAAGGTTTCGT